ATTCAATCTTCAAGGTTTTCATCCTTCAGCTGGTGTCAAAGAGGTTATCCCTTCGGCCGATTGTCCGGACTGACTCTGTCTCGGGCTCTTTGGGCTCTTGGTTAAAACAGGCAGTGGTTCGTTATTGGGCTTGGTTGGCAGAGTTTGGGTTTGGTAAAGTAAAAAGTCACAAGTTGTAAGTGATGTAAGGTACGGTAAGTTTTCTCAATAAAATTAACAACTGGTGGACGGAATGACATGGTAATATGACAGTCAGCCATGCCATGGGCCCAATGGTGTTGCACATAGGATTTTCCATAACTTGGACGATGCCTTAGTTCTACTTGGAATGATCATAGAAGCTAATCCTATCCTGACTTCATCACTCTCAGGAATGTACTTGTTAAATTAATCTACAAATTCCGGAGGAGTTTCGAAAGAGAAAAGCAGAAATCAAATAGAGTATCTCCCACACGAAGTGAGAGATCATGGTTGGTACTAGGGAGTGGCAAGCTGCCAAGCTTACCCACTGACCATCCGCCATCTGATACAGCACGGACGGGAGTATATTACGTAGAGGACTTTTTCCCTTCCTTTCTTTTCGTCAAGGTCAATGAGTGCCATCATCAGTTTCTCAAGTCTTGCGCTCTTGCGGTCCTCGGGAACATTTCGGGTTATCTGGGCTCTTAGGTTCAGGAACCGCTATCTATACACTCTTTTATGTCATTATTAACCAGCCGCACCTTCCATTTGATAGATACATGATTCATTATACCACCAAATCACCCTTACCGCTATACTTCGAGCCGATTTAGCCTGTCCCCATCATGAAGCAGATCTGCTGTTCCGTGGGTCCAACGTTCGATTTACCACCTTGCCCTCCATCATTCTGGCCCATTCCAGGCACGTTTGGTTCAATCGTCTCCAGTTTCTAGTATCTTCCACTTTATATTGAAGAGGACTTCACTATACGCGGAGAGTCGATCACTGATAGACCATGGAAATGATTGATCAAATTCCGCACCAATCGATACAATGATATCCGAGTCTGGAATTGATATCCCTTCCATTAGATACACCGTAGGTACCTGAAATTTCTCCGAGTAGCGATCTTGTCTTACCATCCAATCGCGGTACTTCGCCTCGTTGAGCTTGGACTGCCAGCCGGAGGTCTGTTCTCTACTCCGTAGGTACAGTAAGCTAGACCAACTCATTACTAGGTACCTGGTATGAAGTAATTTTCATACGACGATTCTTATTCAATACCTATGAAGCAGTGAATGAGAGATCATCGTGCGAAAGCATAATAACATTTACACCTTACCGACCATTTGTTTGATATTCGACAAAGTCAATAAGAATTCAACATTATCGTATCGGTATATTGAAGCAACCTCTATCCATTTTTGTTGTAGAGCAGCGCAAGGCCCTCTTGGCGCTGTCAGCATTTGACCCAAGAGTCCTCCATCTAAGGATTTCTCCAGGGTGATTGGAAGGCCGTGGGAAACTTTCACTTATCCAGACGACATGTACAGCATCATCATCATTCGCTTATGCGATCCAATTTCAGTCGGATGCAACGATGAGTAGCTGCTTTAGAAGCAACCTTGGTTGAACTCGATGTCTTCCTGACAACTGGGATAGTGTGCAAGTTGTAAAAGCAGCCTTCCTAAGCAGCAGTAGATAACGATATATGTGCAAAAAGACGCCAAACACACCTACTTTCCTCCAATGCTCGTACAAGAACAACATAGGTAGACTTCCCGTCAAAATTTTGTCTTTGGCTCTCCCATGACTTTGCATAGCAGGATCACCTTTGCAGGCAAGGATTGGGTAGGTACCGCTAGATTAGTGTGCAGTATCTAGGTGGTCGAGAAACTCGTATTTATCATCTCTCTGTACAACTCCGTATGTTTTCACGCACGGTCTGAACCGGTTTCAGAAGCACTCCAAAGCGAGACGACAATTCTCCCAGTGTACGGACGTATAGATAGCCCCCAGCATCTAACCAGCCCTTCCACCTAGCTGCAGAGTCGCCCTGGCTTTTAGTCCTTGACCTTGAACCAAATTGCTCCTTGAGTTTCCGCTAACTCAAGAAGTAGACTGCCTGGTAAAATGGTTTCTCCGGAGCCATTTACCAATCAAGTACCTCTCTCGAGCATTACATCATTGGGCCCCAACCGGCCAACCATGTACCTCTCTATTCGATGACCCTTTCAGTCGAGTCGCTCTCTGGGTATGATGGTGGTGGCGGGGATATTGATACGGATTGGCGGGTGCTAGGCCTCTTTGTCTTGCTGATCCAACTGCTCGAGGCGTCTCGAACGTTGTAGACAGGGTTGATACCATGGCAGAACAGCGGAGACGTCGTGTCGAATTACCTGATTTGCATTCTAAATGCTACTCCATAGGTTCCTGCGCTGAATCGCAAATTCGCCATCTCCTTGGTCTGAAGTCTGGTCTGCAGTTTATGCATGTATGTACCTACCTGATGCCTCGTCAAAGGTGGAATCATTTTTCCGTCGAAATGGAGTGCACTGTTCAAGTGCACAGGTCAACCACCGGCCCGCAGCAGAGTGCAGTCGAGCGGGTGGCTCCAAGTTTAATAGCGATTTGCCTCCTAACCTCATCCTTTATTGTACAAAGTGTCTATCTGTGACACCCAGCGGTTGCTTTTTCAAGGTAAAACAGCACCTCCTATTCCAGTAGGTGGCAGTGTGACCAACCTAAGCTTTAGGGTCCTCCGTAGGCTTGGTTTGCTGAAATTCGAAAAACTAGCGCAAGTGAAATTTATCAAACGTTCAGGTATGGATGTAAAGTAAAGGGGGACCATGACGGAAAGCTGGGGCCATCCGTCCTCGGACGCTAGTTCGCTTACAGATTTACCTGCAGCCATCCATCATTCCACCCATGGATCTGTTCGGCCTTGTCCTGTGAGGCAGTTAGTATAATAATTGATCTCACATCAACCAGTCCTACCCCTGCATCATCACTTTTCTGAGGAGCGTCATTGCCACCGGGTGCAGTGCAGACTATGCATCCGGTATCATCTACTGCCTTGACACTGTCTGGTTAGGATGATGCCGCGTAGTGGACTCTATCACTGACACTGATAATAGTACCCAGCGTTGCCTCGCTCAAACAATTGAAGAAAGTTCTGACGGGCTGCAAACTACGGCGTCTTGCATTGGCTATGCGTGAACAGAGTATTACAGTAAGACTCTGACAGTTAGCCAACCTAGACAATATTGAGTGAGGGATGAAAATGATGCCTATGCCGAGTTCCGTATTGCGTATCAAGACTAACTTCACAAGCCACCAAATATGTCTTCTGTATGAAGAACTAGATAGTTACACTAAGGGTTGGTTTCCTAAGCCCCTACCCCATGATCATCGTTCAAGATTGATGATTGCTTTTTCCTCAGACGGTCAATGCTTCTATTACCTGCTTATGCCTCAGGTCGCAACCCCTCATTGCACTAACCCCGGGTTTAGCTAGTTGCATATGCACGAAGACAATAATCCATTGCCATTAGAAGACCAAGAGGGTATGAGAACGATTCTGATTCGTGGCCAACTTCGGCTGCAATTTCATATCCAGGTTGTAGCCGACCCGAGTCTGTGATTGAAGCGTCAGGTAGCACCACGCAAGCACGGACATTTGTTGCATTTGCGCCTTGGATTGGGTAGGAACCGTAGACTGGGAGGCTGGGATGTAGCTATTATCCAGTCAAGGCAACTCAAAAGCGATGGTGACGGATACCAGTCTCTTCAGATGCCAGTTCTCTACATTATTGTTGCGCTGTGGTGGTGGTGTTTCAATAGGAAATTCTCCATGATATACTCTCTGTACTCCATGCTCACATATCAATACGTATTAATGTGCGAGACCCCGCATGAGCACATGAGAAGCTCATCCCTTGCTTGAAGGCAAATGGTCTATGGTGTACGAATACTCTGTGCTTATATCATTCAAGACAGTAAAGTAGTTAGCGATTATTTGGAGAGTGGTCGGTTATTACACGATAGACCGCCTGTGGTGTAAATAAAGGATTCCTTCTTGGGACCATTTCATAATCTAGGCCTCAGATTCAATGCTTTTGAGTACTACTGTCTAGATACATAATAATAGTACTACGGATCACACAGTACCATTCTGGCTGTAGAGAAGAATATTAAATGATGTGCGACCACCTGCTGTCTCACATACTCCGGACTAAGACATCAAGGGATGATCCATCGCACATGCCGCTGATTGATAAGACAGACTGGATCCTCATCCTCATTCTGTAGATATCACTTCATATCTAGCTGCTGTCCATCTACTTCTGTCTCCGTAGCATCATACTATATCAAATAAATAAAGTCTTACGCCACTGATCCTGCAGAGTCCGCCCTCTAATCCAGTCAGTGAATGAGGATGGATCCCCCGCCCAGCGTTGCCAGTGCAACCCGCCCGTGTTTACCATCGCAGCTTCACTTGGCCCCTCCATTAATCTATCTGGCCTGCTCGACATATCCTTCTCACTGGTCCTTCAGGCCTCGAGTGATGCTCTATGATTGCGTGCATTGTGTAACAGTGGAGGGTTGTAAGATCTAGAATGGGTCACGGCAGACAATTTGGGTAGATGGCTTCTAACTCTAGAGTATTCACCTGCCCGTAAGGTAGGATGTGGATGTTGCCTGGGATGTTTACTGTTGCCGTTACCTTCACCTTTTGCCTCTCTCTCCTAGTCTCTTGATATTTTCTTCGCAAAGGCGTCTTCATTCGACCCTGACTGCGGAACAAACTACTAAATCCATCGAATTTATCAATCCTTGTCCCCTTTAACAGAGGAATTACACGATAGTCCCACAGTACAGTCCTGCTCCATGTCGGTCGATCTGGTGTCTGGCCCGCGCCTACTCTAAATCTTTGTGACGAGCTAAGATCATCGGTCTCGCTAGATGCATCGCGCATCGTCTCGGATCGCAATCTTTATATCCATCAGACACACTGACATCTCCGCTCCTACCCTTCCATGGATGACGGCCCTTTACGGAAATCTGGATTGGGCAGGACTGCCGTGATGAGTCTGACGTCCATTGTCTTGCTTGCGTCGCTGCTTGTCTATCCTGTCCGCGCAGCGATTCCATACTCGCCGTCCCATATCCTCTATACCTCCCAGCACAACGATTCTTTTGCCTACTTACTGCGGCCCAGTGACTCGCAGCCGCCTGCCACACAGTTTCTTTCGTTGAATGTCTCAGGAAAGGTCGACGCAGCCAGCCCGGAATACACAGTTCTTCTAGATGAGCTGCCGTTCCCCACAGACAACCAGTCCTCTGCCTTTGTTCCGGCTATTGATCAACATGGTCACATCAAGGTCTATGTAGGGGACTGCGGCCAAAGAAACGCGCAAAGAAGCCTTTGGGTGTTTACGCCAAATGACAACAACTCGAGCGGCAATGGAACGTGGGAAGAGCGCAATTTGGATTTAGGGCAAGGGGACCTAGTAGTCAACAGCTACGGACCCAACTATCTGTCTGCCGCGTTCGCCTGGTCGTCTTCTAATATGACGGAGAGCTCGCTGTACGCCTTCGGTGGCATGTGTCCGTTCAACACGAGATCGAAAGCAACCTGGATCTATGCCGCCAACTATTCTCAGTCCATGATCGTCTTGAGTCCTCCGACCACTGACCGTATCTCTTCGTATCGAATATCAACCGCCGGCCTGCGCGCACCACCTATCCCGGAGGCGGGGTTCACAATCACTCCATTGCATCCCACCTACGCATTGTCTCCTTTAGGTCGAACACTACAGCAACAGAACTTTCTCCTCATCGGGGGTCACACGCAGAAAGCCTTCATCAACATGTCTGAGCTTGCCATCTATTCCCTTCCGCAGGACAGCTGGAGCTTCGTCAAAGTCGAGTCAGGGTCGGATATGGGGAAAACTGAGCTTGCTGTTCGAGATTCAGCATTCGTGGAGCCGAGATCGGGGCATACGGCCGTTCTCTCGCCGGACGGTAGCAAGGTCATCGTCTACGGCGGGTGGGTAGGCAGTACCAGTCGACCTGCTGAGCCGCAACTAGCTATCTTGGAGATGGGAGAAGAGTTTGGAGGCTCTGGCTCATGGCGTTGGGTAGTCCCATCTAACCAAGGAAGCGGGCTCGCAGACGGAGCCGGGATCTATGGTCATGGTGCAGCAATGCTTCCTGGCGGCGTGATGATGATCGCCGGCGGGTACAGCACTGCCACAACAACGAAGCGGTCGGCAGTAGGGCCTCAGCCTAACTCCCAAGTCTTTCTATACAATGTTACGTCGGGAAGCTGGATGACTTCATACAAAAACCCAAGCCTGCCGGAACCGGAACCCGTACGAGCCTCTGGTGGCTCCACGTCTTCAGTGTCGAAGGTAGGGCTTGGTGCAGGACTCGGACTGGGAATTCCGTCAGCAGCAGGTTTGGCTGTGTTTGCTTGGTTCTACTGGCGGAGGCGCCGTGTGCGGCGGACTCGGGATCGCGAACTGCGCAAGCTCGCTCTCAGTGCACAAAGGGCACACTACTGGGGCAGGGACGAGCCCGAAATGGCGAGCAGCATCCGCATGCCCAAGACCAGAGACCAGAATAAGTCGATCTCCTGGACTACTGCTCCAAGTGGGAACGGGCAGGACAGAAGCGAAGTTGCTGCGGAGAGCACCAGCTTGCTTCGTGACATCCCGACTCCCGACAGAAATAGCCAACAAAGCTTGGGAACGCGCCCTTACCGGTATTCAGCGCCATACAGCGAGTACAGGAGAAGCGAGGCTACAGGTGAAATACATCCAATCGACGAACGCGACGAGGAGGAAACGAGTTCTCGAGCGTTCGGCGACCCCGACACTGCCGCGGCCTCTGAACCTTTCTTGGGCGCTGAATTCGTTACTCCGCGCAGTACGATGTCGAGTCCAGTTGGAATTTCATTCCGAACTGTTAGAGCTGTACCCGCGGAAGATTCACTCCGAGACGGGCTTTTGCCCTCGGACCAGGACGAGCGCACTTCGTCGAATCTCTCGGACTCTTCAGCTAGATCTGGGAGTAGTGCTCCTCGCCTCCAGGCGTCACTTCGTAGCCCTACAAGTTTGCTAGATAATGGACGCAATTCGCCAGAAGTGCCACCCTCGACGTCCACTCATGGGACAGGACTGTCCAGAGAGAAGCGCTACTCCTCGGACTCCTACTCTACCGCGCATACAACCCTTTCGCTGCGATGGGCCGAGGGAGAACACCTTTTGAAAAATGATCCTGGGCCAGACGTTCCAATCGAGCAAAGCTCCACGCCGGGGCGACCACCGCTGACTCCAAAGGCGCGGACGTTTGGCTGGATGGGCAGCGTGCGTCGCGTTCTTTCCGGAACACAGAGGCGTGTTACAGCAATACGAGACTCGACGACAGCCTCTCTGGCGTCGGGCATCGATCGGAGGAGTACAGTCCTCGGAGCCAGGACGGTGGATGGTGCACAAGATGAGTCGAAGGTCCCGCGACGAGCCGTGAGTGCCTCGGCTGAGCTCTTCAGACGAAAACAGGGCGCCAGAGACTGGGGAGCAAGCAATCGATGCTCCCGGGATACGGGGCTTCAGACCATCAGGTCCTCCCGAGATGACTCGGCGTTGGACGGGCTGATGGACGTGGACGATGACGACTGGGACGTCGAGGGCGCAGCCGAGGGCAGACGGGTCCAAATCACATTCACCGTTCCTAAGGAGAGATTGAGAGTGGTTAACGCTACCGCCCAAGACTTGGACAACATGTCTGAGAGATCTATCAGTCGAAGTAACACCGGAGCATGAACGGCAGCCTACACCGCTAGAGCTGTTACAAGGCAGGTATATCCCATGCCCGCTACTATCAATTGTATATCCATAAGATTCTCTTCTCTTTCTTGTTCGCTTTTTCTTTTTGTTGCTGGCCCTTCCTGGCGAAAGGGTGTTTGATATCCGCGGCTGTTGTCAACTTTTACTACTTGCCTTATTTCTTCTTTGGCTTGTTTTGAGCGTGTTCCTTTCTTCAGCCGGGTTGTGTCTGACGAACGGATATGGATTACGCTATGAAGCACGAAGTCACGAGCTTTTCTCTTTCTTCTCTTCGCTTCTTTGTGCGATTTTAAATTTGACTGGGTTGTGTGGGCACACGACAGACGGAAGTGTCCAGATTGTGAACATATTTCTGTTCCTTGTGCTCTGTACGTTGGAAGACAGAAGTAAATAGAAAGCACTTGTTGTTTTGGTTAATGCTGTTTAAAGACTACTGCAAGTCATGGGTAAATACATTGACTAGTAGAAATCATTCTCAGCTGTAGATATGGCCGGGTTGGATGCGGCGCGAGACAAGGTGGAAACGATGCAAGTACTCATCAGGCGCATGTTGAAAAGCCGAAAAAAGACGCTATCTGCAACACAAGTTGAAAACTATGATATAGATTCTAGGGAGAAACAGGTCTATGAAGAGGCGGGAGCACCGCCGGAGCCGAGAGTAGGTTTGGTAGGCAGTGTGCTGGGCAGCGGGGGCAGTAGATTCTTTGCGCTCTCACGCGCATACTGGGCCATGAGGGCATCCATAATGACGAGGGCGGACATGGCCTCGACGATGGGGACGGCACGCGGGGTAACGCAGGGGTCGTGGCGGCCCTTGGCCTCGAGGACGCCCTCCTCGAAGCCGTAGGAGGCGGTGGTCTGGGCCTGGCCGATGGTGGCGGGAGGCTTGAAGGCGACACGGAAGTAGATGGGAGCGCCGTTGGAGATGCCGCCCTGGATGCCGCCGGAGTTGTTGGTCTTGGTGGTCAGGCGCTGCGTGCTGATGGTGTTGTTGCCGGTGCGGGTCTGGACCTCGGAGACGGTGAAGGGGTCGTTGTGGATGGAGCCGGGGACCTCGCAGCCGCCGAAGCCCGAGCCGATCTCGAAGCCCTTGGTGGCGGGGATGCTGAGCATGGCATGCGCCAGCTTGGCCTCAAGCTTGTCGAAGCAGGGCTCGCCCAGGCCGACGGGCACGTTGCGGATAACGCAGGTGACGGTGCCGCCGATGCTGTCTTGGTTGTCCCGGAAGGTCTCGATGACTTTTGTCATGCGCGCCGCGGCCTCCTCATTCGGGCAGCGAGTAGGGACGAAGGTATCGACAGTCTTACGGTCGATGGTCTCGATGAGCTTCAGGAACTCAGGGTTGGCCGATGGAGAAGGGTGCTCGGGGGTCGGGGGGAAGAGGTGTTCGTTGCCCACGGAGGAGACAAAAGCGACAATCTCAACGCCGTGCGAGAGGCGTAGGTACTTTTCCGCAATGGCACCGGCGGCGACACGGCCTGAAAAGACGAAGTAATTAGCAAAAGAGGACTCGTCTGTTCGGTGGGTGTTGCTCAAAACTGACCGATGGTCTCGCGGGCACTACTCCGGCCACCACCGCTGCTCGCCTTGACACCGTATTTCTCCAAGTAAGTGTAATCAGCGTGACTGGGACGAGGGTAGAGATCCATTGTGCTGCCACCATAGTCCTTGGGTCTCTGATCCTCGTTTCGCACCATCATTCCAATCGGGGTACCGAGGGTAATGCCGAACTCCGTTCCAGACTGGATCTCTACTCGGTCCTTCTCATCTCGAGGCGTCGTCAGAGCACTCTGCCCGGGACGTCTTCGGGTCATCTGGGGTTGAATGTCTTCCTCTGTGAGCTCCATGCCCGGAGGGCAGCCATCGACGATGCAGCCGACAGAGCGGCAGTGGGATTCACCATAACTGCGAGCGAAGAAAGGTTAGAGGTCTGACTCTGGCTGGAACTCAGATAGGGACAACGTACGTGGTGACCCGGAAGTATTCTCCCCACGTCGACATTTCGAAATGATCTTCTGTTTCTGTATATGCTTCTGCTTTTTGACTCACGTTATTGTTGGTGGGGCTATTCGCAAGGGAGAATCATGCAATGCTTACCAACGAACCGTCAATCGGCAACGATGGTCAGATCGAATCAAATAAATACAGAGACCTCGCAGTCGAGAGCAGGTATAACCGTGAAATGTATATTCAGCGTAAATCCTGACTGCTGTGTCAGCCCTTACTTTTGAGGGCGGCCGCAAAAGAGATGAAGCGGGACTTTTTAACAATAGTCATCGGCATTGCTTATCTGGGCTTAGCGCACCGGAGATCGGAGAGATCTTTCATCAATGAAATCTTACATTACAATACCCGGCATTTATTTTTCAGTTGAGCCACGGACATCGCCCTCTTACCATACGTTACATGGTCTCCATCTGATCTCCGCCATGGAGTCCGGAGTTTGAACAGCTTCAACCATGCTCACTCTGTGCCTGACCCTCGTCGTTCCTCAATGCGTCGTCTGCTGCGAGGACAATGCCTGCTGACTTCGGCTTTGGCTCCTAGACAGAGCTATGGCAGCCCTTATTCAGGTGCCGTACGATATAACTCCGCATTATCCACCGCCCATTTTGTACAGCTAGCGAGCCGTCAGTCCTCCCAGCACCAGATTTACCAGTCGCTATCATCCGACCCATATGTGAACCTGTCCATTGAGCATTTCTTGCTGGAGCATGCGCCAGTTGACAGTAGCATTCTCTTTTTGTACGTCAATCGACCTTGCGTTGTCATCGGACGCAATCAGAATCCATGGCTCGAGACCAACCTCAAAGGGCTTTCCAATGACCGCGTGAAAGTTGGAGAAGGGGACAATGAGAGTGACGACGTACTACTGGTTCGACGCAGATCGGGTGGAGGAGCTGTATTTCACGACCTGGGGAATCTGAATTACAGTGTGATTTCACCGCGCACCACTTTTACTCGCAATAAACATGCGGAGATGGTTGTACAGGCTCTACACAGTATCGGGGCGACCAACACCAGTGTTAATGACCGACATGACATTGTCATGTCCTCCGCAACGAGTGAGCAGGGAGGGCCTGGCGCATCCCTACCTCGGAAAATCTCTGGTTCAGCATTCAAATTGACAAGACACCGAGCACTACATCATGGGACTTGCTTGTTAGATTCCCCCAATATCAACGATCTGGGATACTTTCTACGTTCACCTGCCCGGGACTATATAAAGGCCAAAGGAGTGGAGAGTGTGCGATCACCAGTGACCAATGTCTCGACCGCCTTCGAGAATGCGTTTGCTCCTTTCTCGATACAAGCGGTGATGGAGGGTATTATGGAGCAATTTGCTCGAATGTATCAGGTCAGTCCTGATGCCGTCCGTCGGGCGCAACGTGCTCACGCGAATGAGCCTGAGCTTTACGCTGGAGCCGACTGGGTGGCCGGTGTTGTAGGAGCACAAGAAGGATACCGAGAGCTGGAGATCAGAAAAGGCATTGACGAGCTTCGGGTAAGGCAAATGCGCGTAGTATGTCAGACCATTACTGACGTATGATCTTAACCAGTCTTTGGAGTGGAAGTACAGTCAGACACCGCGGTTCACCTTTTCCACGTTCCCTTTCGAGGAGGATCCGCGCCCAAGACCCGCACTGCCAGAGTCACTGCCTCACTCGGTAAGACTTTTGTTACTGTGTTGGTCGCCTTCACTCGCTGACCGATCATCTAGACCCGAGTATTTCTGCGCCTCAAACATGGTGCGATCATCGAGAGTGAAATTTCAGTCTCATCTGATCCAAATGTGGCATCCGAGCAAGCACGCCGAGTACATGAAGTTTTGAATGGACGGAAGCTTCACGAAATCCAGTTGAGTCAATGGGACCAGCTGCTCACTGACCGTCTCGGCGCAGACGTTGAGGCGAGAGTCGCGCATGAGCTTGCGAGGTTCATTGGAAGCAAACTGTGCTCCTAGCTTTACTCAGTTGCTCCTGGATGACCAGAGTCATATTGTACAGTAGACAAACTATGTATATTAGCATTTCATGCGACTACTTCACGGTAATGAGGCGCGTCTGGGCAGTCGAATCTTCGTCCCCCGTAACACACATCAGCCAAGTTTGCTTCGAGCACCTGCAATGTCAACCCGCTGACAGTCTTCCCCTCTCGACACAATAGTAAAAGGTTTACATCGGAGATGCCCTACAAATCATCTTGATCACTGCAGTCTACATAGTAAGATAAGCTTGTTTGCGCTGTTTGCAGTGACTACACCGGCGCTCCCCGAATGGAAGCGTGGCTTAAGTAATCCGCCTGCCGAATTCCGCCTAGTCGCAGGGGAAGTTTGTTCCCAAATCCCAACATCTCCGGCGTTGAAGATAACAGGGCAAGAAGATCTCCTCATCTCCCTCTAACTCCTCCTCCATATCAATTGGACTTCTCGACCTCCCATCATGTTATTCCGAGCTGCGTGGTCCCGTCAGGCTGCGCCTCTGAGGCGTCAGGCTTTTGCTCCTCTTGCTCGCCGCTCTGTCACCACCGACGCCGCCTCATCGCATGCTGAAAATATTCCGCAGGTTTGTTGAGACGCCCAAAAACCCGCGATTCGGAAGGTCTCATGCTGACGGGATGGGTGTTTGTGTATAGGAGGATGACAAGCCCTTCACAGTCAGACTCTCCGATGAGAGCTTCGAGACATACGAGATCGACCCTCCTCCATATGAGCTCGAGGTCACCAAGAAAGACTTGAAGCAGATGTACTATGATATGGTCGTAACCAGGTACGGACTGAGCGGAGTGGAGTTTCTTTGTTGCTACGCGACTCGTATCTAACCTTGGCGGTTCTCGCTCTGTCTAGACGCATGGAAATGGCCGCCGACCGTCTGTACAAGGAAAAGAAGATCAGAGGTTTCTGCCACTTATCTATTGGTCAGGAAGCTGTTGCTACTGGTATCGAACACGCCATCACCCGCGACGACAAGGTTATC